TTCATTTATAATTGGGTCCTTCTTAGTCCCGTGCGTTTCACCTTGGAAATGAATCTAAATAAATGAGAAAGGACAATAAGACAAATGGCTTGCATCCTGGGGTGATCCCTTTCCTCTAACAACATACAAAAACATCATTTTCACTTCAAATTTTCTTCTTCCTTTCATTATAGGTCAAAGGAATGGTTTGTAATTGTTTTTGTCATTCGCTTTTTTACTTCAAATGTGCTGAACAATTGCTATTCCTGTTTAGCCTAGAAAATCAGCTTATCCAGAAACACTTGTTTTTTCTCTTATTTGGTTTGACTTTGGTTTTTTGATTTTTCAGTTTGATATTTTGTTATATAAAGTACATGCATACACACTACAGCATGAGATTGAAGAAATTAAAGTGTAATGTGCGTTTTGGTATTTGCAAGAATTATATAACTGTTATGCTTCTTCATCCTCATCCACTGGACTCCAGACAATATCTAAAATCTTGCATTTCTTTTTCCGACTTAGATTGTTTATCGATTAACATGCTGGATAGTTATTATATCAGATTTCGGATTGAGATTAAGCTACTTGTTTGAGTAATACGGGAAAGTTGTACCAAAAAAATGCTAATTTAAAGATTATAAAAATCATTATGAATGAATATGAAACCAAAAAAGAATGATGGTATAATAGGCAGAAAAAGATAAAGGGAGAGAAATATTGCTTGATATCAATAATAGGTATCAAATTATAAACACTACTAAGTAAAAGAGTCAATTATAAATTTTTCTTAATTTTAACATATTATTTTGAAATTAACACTCATTTTTCACTAAAAAATAAACCAAAATAATTGCATAACTAACAACTTTTTTTTGGTTGGAATGATTAGTGAAAAGGTTTTTAAAATAGGTAGTAGACATTATGGAATGATGCAAAATTTTTGGGCAATTTTTAAATTTAAAGTAAAATTTTCCCATCATTCCCCTAGTGGAAAGAGGGGAAAGATTGTATGAAAACAGTAGGTTCTACCAGAGAGAGGAGGAAGCACGTATGGTGGACTTTGGGCTGGCAAAATGGAAAATGGGTACCAAACATACTGCGGGACCTCCCTCGTAATCATTCACCTCATAGAAATTTAAGATGAACATATGGCTCTCAGACAGCTAAAAGAAATATCGAATACTAACAGAATTATTCAAAAATCTTCAAATCTTATTTTTAGAGGAAATACTGGTCAAGTTATAGCATTTAAAAATATATTTATAGTATATTTGTGTTTATGAACGTAGTTATTATTATCATTAATATTATTAAGTTAATTCAACTTTTGATTATTTTAAATAGTATTTAAAAATATTAATAAATATTACTGATTTTAATTTATTAACTAATAAATATAAATTATTATTCTTTCTATTTCAAAATAATTATTTTTTTACTTTAAATTTATTTTAAATATATTGTTAATTTTTTATTTT